GTTGATTACATTTATAGACTGGATACAGATTTACAACTCATCTATAATATAACAACTACACCTGATGATGGAACTGATAACTATAATAAGATATTATCAATTAACTACGATGACAATAATCTGGTAACATGTGGAAGTGATCATGGATATTGTCAGATTAGAAACTTGACTGACTTGTCTGTACTGGGTGATAGTGCTACATATGTTGCAGCACCTACTGTGGAAGACTCTACTGTAGGATTTGTAGCACCTGGTTATGATGATAAACCTATGTTGTATGTTGGTACATCAAAACGAGGATTTACTTATGGAGATGAAATTGTGAGTGGACGACAACTTGAAGGAAGCATTTTCCGTACAGTATATTATTCTGTTGTACAAACTAGTGTAGATCTAAACATATACTACCAAGGACCAGACAATGTGATCTATATAACAGGTTTCAGCTATGGTGGATTTAGTTACTTTCTTACCGTACAACGTTTGGGTAGATCCGATGATTCGTACATATCTAGGATTGTACGTGTATGTCAAGCGAGAAATAACAACTACTACGACTCTTACACAGAAGTAACATTACAGTGTAATGGCCCTGATGGTACGTCATACAATTTACTACAAGCAGCCCATGTTATGAGACCAGCATCATATCTATCTACGTCACTATCATTGGAAGACGGGGAACACGTTCTATTTGCTGTGTTTACTAAAGGAGAAACACCACAAAATTTAACACCATTACAACAATCTGCAGTGTGTATGTATAAAATGACAGACATTGAACAAACCTTCCGTAATGCTATATCTGGCTGTGTTAATCAGGGTGGTGTTGATTATGAATTAGATTATATAAGTGGGGCGGCATGTCCCGGCATTGGGGGCTATACAGTAAGTATGGTAAGCATACTTATGGTTTACTTGCAATATCAATATATAGGCATGATTTAGTCGTTGTAAAATTCAACAATATCGACAAAAGTCGATGCCACAATATTACACGACCTGGTTAATATGATACTGACTAGAATATGATATATATATTCAAAGAAATCTTTTCTGTAGTCAGAATATCGTTAACACTTTGAACATTGATTACAAATATGTTACTTGTATAACTTTATTACAATGAGTAAAACCGCATATTGTGTCTAATACGTTTTATTAATTTAATAAATCTGTTGGTTGTGTGCATTACTATTTAGGAGGGATGTTCAACTGGTGGTCTGTATAGATTTCTAAATGGAATAGATCCCTTATCCATATATGCTAGTCTTGAATATCCCAGTACACTACTTACGTCTATTGGTGTAACCACTGTACAAGAACACACTGTTGGGTTTATAGGAACACAAGATGGACACATACTAAAGGTAAGGATTACTATACAAACAAATCAAGTGTTGGTGTTCTGGAATACTCCATTACGCTACACTAATTCCTTGCACTATTGCGTGGCGTGTAAGTAAGTAAATTTATTACGTTTCTTGGTAGCGGAATGTTACCCGCACAGAATATTGCCATCAATATTGAGCTTTATTCGCCAATGCTATTATAATAAGTTAACGCTCATTTTTGTCAATAATGGTCAGTTTGTTTGGAGTGCTAAATGAAAACCAAGTTTTGACTGTGAATAATATTTCTTTCTGTGTAATATTATTTCTAGATTCATTTCAAACAAAGTCCATCTGCCGTAGAGTATTACATTCACTACCTGTACTCGTCAACTATTCTGTCTGATATAGCGTTTGACAATAATTTCCAACATGTCTATGTTCTTACCCAACATAGAGTGAGTATATCACATTAAGGAATTAAAAAAATAATGTTGGTAAAACCAAACCGATTGAATGAATAATAACAGAATGCTGGAATAATTTATTTGAATTATACTAGAAACAAATTCTACTGTGTTTTCACAATGATCAGATTGCATTTGGTATTACGCATGATCATCGCCATTGCACGGAGCAATCACGTGTTCTCGTTCGCACTGTAATCAGTACTCAGTATGAGATGAGTACACATAATGTCTGAATAATAACTTTCTGTATAACTGTAGCTTTACAAAGTCAAGGTACAAGACTGTAATAAGTATACGTCATGCAGTGAATGTTTTAGTGCTATGGATCCTTACTGTGGTTGGTGTACACTGGAAAAAAGGTTGGCATCAGTTGCATTTATTTTCAATGTTCTATTCAAATGAAAATAACAAATTAAACAGGATAGATTTATGATTTATAGTCCGACAACAGCATTTTAAACGTGTATGTTTTTGGTTTGGCAGATGTTCTCTTTATGGAGATTGCCCATTGTCACAAAAAACATCAAGATGGTTAGATGTGTTTTCTGATGATATGTGTGTTAATATCACATCAATAGAACCAACGAATAGTATTGCTATTACTCTCCAGAATCAGGTATATAATTAGTACAGTGATTTTTCACTAAATGTTCAATCATTAACCGCTGATATAGTATTTCGAATATTGTGGTTGTATAAGTCAAAAATAATAATAGTAATTTATCGCATTTTACATTGTAATGATTCTCAATTTGTGTAACTATTAATATATTGTTATTCAGATCACTCTCAGTGTTATTGAATTACCCGATGAACGTAATATAACCCCAGCTTATCATTGTATGTTTGGAATGGTATTTATAACACCTGCTGTTCAATTCGGAAATGTCTTGACTTGTGATACACCGCCTATCGACATTAGACCCGATATACCAAATGGACAAGGTTAAGTAAAGCTCTTATAATACAATCAGCATTGTAAATAGAGTAATCGCAATTAATTGAAATGTGACATTTCTTCTGTTGTCAGATTCCGTGGCAGTACAACTTTCTGTAAAAAGTATGGAAACAACTATAGAGTTTGTACATACTGAATTCTATTTTTTCGATTGCTCTGCCCACAACTCGTAAGTGTAATAATTGTTTTTTTCTGTACGTATATGATGTATATAGAAATATTTTATTATACTATGATAGTAGACATAGTTAAAAATTAAATATTGAAATCAAAGTGTTATGTATAGGGACATGATAAATAATATTTCAAACTATAGGCGTATTAAGGTAGAGATGCAGTTTACCTGACAGGTATTTTTATTAGTTAATTAGGCAATGAAGATGACCTTGCTTGTCCACAAATCTATATATTTTCGGAAAGCTTATTGTATGAATTTTAAAATTGTGTAAGTATTTGTTTGTTTTGGACACTGTAGTTTGAAATATGCACAAAAGTGTGTTTGTTTTTTTTGGTAAAAAGTGATTTTAAAAAAATAGCTTTTAAACCATGCATCTGTTTCCTGTCAAAATTTGTTTACGGGTACATCTGTTTACTATGAAGAAAGTGCTGTCTTGAAAACTGTCTACCAGTTTTGCTGGGCAGCAGCTCAAATTTTACTAATTCAGGTTTATGCATAAATTAACACCCAGGCTAGTTGTCTGTGCGATTGTTGACACTGTTCAGCCAAAAACAATTTTTCTGACAGTGTTTTGAAGATGAACAAATTGTCAAACATTTGTGAAAACTTCAATAGAAAAGGTCAAATTATTTTAATTTAAAATTTTCCCAGGATACAGATGTTCATACAATGCCATAACAATAAAAATGTGAAATTTGTCAATATTTGCAAGATAAACTGCATCTCTACCTTAAAGAAGTTATTAAAGTCAGCATTATTGTTTACAATTTACTATCTACAGATGTACAGAGTGTGCTGGCAGTAACTGGGCATGTGATTGGTGTATATATGAAAACAAATGTACACATGAAAGTAGTGCATGTGTTGAAGATGACAGTTCTACAACTGTTGTAGGAGAAAATGTAAGTACTTGTGTAAATGCGCTAATTATCGATAATGATAACTATAAAGGACCATGATAATAGCACATATAATTCAGTTAATATAAACAGTGAACATTCATGCTTACAAGCTAATACAATTTCGTTTCAGAATATATTTGGAAGCAGTGGGAAAAGAGGGCGTCATTACTGTCCTTA